CAATATTTTCCAAAATGAGATCTATTAACAGAAATGCATCAGCAGTTTCACTTTCAATAAATGCATAATTAAGTACAATCCGAGTAATTGAAATGCTTATAACACTTTTAACGGCAGCGCATAATTCAAAGGATTTCACAAAATACCCTACTGGCGTCCTAAGTAGGTCACCTATATACCCCATCAGCGTCCTTATGGGTCCACTTAATCCCTATCGGCGTCCCAGATAGGTCCACTTAATCCCTGCAGGTCCACTTATACCTTACCGGCGTACCGGATGAGTCCACTTAATCCCTACCGACGTCCCAGATAGGTCCACTTATACCTCACCGGCGAACAGGATGAGTCCACTTGCATACTTAAATTATTTCTAAATCTCTTTAAACATTCGAAAGCAGCAATATCATGTACTCAACATATCACTGAAATCATTAATACGAATTTCACTTAAACCATTAATAACAGTCACTCTCTATAACATTTCAAAAATAACCAATCAAATATTTTGGGCTCAAATTTAGAAAGGTAGCAGTCTGTAAAGGCATTCTAGCATAATTGCCAATTTAATATGTATAGAAAAACTCTTATAGAAATTCAAGAATACACAATTTATGGGATATCAATCCACAAATAAACATTTCACAACAATACTATAATCAATTGCAAAAATGTCAATTTTTAAATAATAAGGCAATCATTTGCACATGAATTTTACAATGTCTAAATATTCAAAACAGTAGAAAGAAATATCACAATTTTACTAAAAGCAGAAATATCACATTTATTTCTAGCAATAGACAAGAAAAATAAATAAATTTATTTTTCTAATTTACAGCATTCAAAATTTCTAACATAGATAAAATATCACAATTTTTATTAAAAAGATTATTTTTCAAGGTAATGAGGTCACGTGCGCAAAAAATTTATCGCGCCTAAAATTCATGATAATAAGCAGAAATAATTATTTCATTTTATTTTTAAAAAGAATGGATTATTTTTCGAGACAATGAGGTCACTTACACCCAAAACTTATAAAATAAAGATCCTAGACGGAAATATCACTATTTATTAAAAACAGGCTATTTTTCAGGAAGACGATGTCACTTACCTAAAATATTTGAGAAAGAGCTTCCGATAAGAATTCGGCTAGAGAGAGAGATAAGAGAATATTTAAATGGCACAAATTGTCTACTTGAACGAGGATAAAAAAGGATAGATAGGACTGATTCAAGAAAGGGAGAGAGAGAGGGCGAGATTGTAGAGAGATAGAGATCTTAAATGGAATTTCAAGTGAGAGACCAGTTTTATTGTGTAATTTCTCTGTGTATTTCTTTGGGGGGCAGAGCTAAGAAGGTGGAATTCTTCGAGCAGGCTTGATCTTCGAGAAGAGTACGGGCAAAATACAAACAGCCAAGGGTTTCGATGAGAGAGACATAATTGGTTTTGGGGTAGGCTTTAGAGAGAGAGAAGGTCCTCGTAGACATAAAGTAGTTACATAAACCATAATAGGGCTAGGGTTTTAAATGTTTAGAGAGAGAGAAGGACGAATAAAAAGAAAACACGTTAATGCAAGGTGTTGATTAAAGGAGTGTTGTTGTAAAACTTTAAGGTGGTGGACCTAAAGTCCACTCAAGTAAAATTGAACCCTCAAATATATTAACAATAATATCTTTTATTTATTGTTAATATAAAAGCAACAATATCCTAACGGTATATTAGTATTATTATTATTATTATCATTACTAATATATACTTATTATTTTATTTATTATTTTATTTATTTTATTATTATTATTATTATTATTATTATTATTATTATTTGTATTTATTTCTGTTAACAACATTAATATTATTATTATTATTATATATATATATTTTTGAAAGTTTAGGATTGTTACATTAAAGTATCGTAATATTAATTCTAAGTTATTAGGACATTTTAAATATCGTATAAATATATGATAGTTATTATGATTGTTATTATGATTGTTATTTTGGTAGTATGACTACCTTGAATGTTATTTTGGTCATAAAGCACCTATAAATGAAGAAAAATGATGTGGATGAGGTTTATAAAAATTGAAGAAAAATGATGTGGATGAGGTTTATAAAAATTGAAGTTTTTTTTTTTCTAAATAGATGATAATTAAGGTATATTTGTGATAATTTTTTTAGTTTTAAATAATCAAATAGTATAGAGGTCCATTAAGGGCAAAGTCAATAGTAAAAGTCACACATGTCCAAACGTACACCTTTATGGAAATTAATCACCTTATAGATATAATATTTTAGACCAATAACAATGAGCTTAATATCCCATTAAATAAAATTTCAAAAATTGAATTTTCATGGATTCAATATTTAAATTAAATAAAAATGGATCTCACACATGCCAACCAATGTACTTGTATGAATCAAATAAACAAATATATGACAAAAATATATATTAAATTATAACATAATATAACAAATCAAATAACAATACATAACATAACATAACAAAAGAATATATGACATCCACGTCCCCCACCTTGGGATTAGTTCCCAGGTGGACATTGATCTTATGGTGGGGTCAGGGGTACCACGTGGTCACCCTATGACCACTCGGGTGTGCCACGTAGTAGTCTTCAAATAGAATTAGGTCTAAATAAATATTAAAAGTACATATTTGTCAATCAAAAATTTCTAAAATATTCTTCAAAATTCACAAAAAATATTTAAAATATTGATGAAAATTTATTTATCATTTCTCATCATAATTAAATTGGATAAAGGATAAGTGAGATCTAATGGCTTCAACTTTAGGTATCAGAGTACTCTATTGGGCTAGTCTCCAATGATATTCCGCCGATATCTCAAGCTGACTCAATACATCTATGTTTCATAGTCTATGACAGATACACATAATTGGTCACGTCAAAGCCATTGAGCCAGAGCTTCCCATCATCCTGCTCTCGATGGATTATATGTGCACATCTGTGAGACATATTCCATGTCCCATAAGTCATGACCTTCCCATACAGAACCATTACTCATAAAAAATACTCGGGTTCTATTGTACTCGATTGGATATTTCAAGCTCTAGTTAATCACAACAATGATGAGGCTAATATAAACAAGATCTTGACTATGAAGTGGCCCTCACACCTTAAAAAATTTCTTTCTCGAAAGTAAAACTCTCATAGCCTCAAGTACTCGGAGTATAAGAATCTGAGCCCGTTTTGCAAAGTACCCAGATTCTATCTCTCAATTACTCCCATTAAATAAGAGACTATTGGTATTCAGGCCTTGAAAGGCCATATACCCAACAATAACTCAAAGATAACCTTAAAGTTAAAGCTAAAAATACATGTAACTAAAAGTTGGAAACATGATGAGAAGTATTTTATTGTTCTTTTGAACTGCAAGACAACATTTTTGGATGTATGAGCAAATAATGATTTTTCAAGTTGAGAATGAAATTAGTGATTTTTTCCCTTGTGAATGTTAATTTAATGTGTGGTGAAAATAGAACTCTAGACATCATGTTATAGCCCTCACCACCCAGACCAACTCAACCTAGACTGCATTCTCTTGGAGTTAGTGAGTCACATTTTGTTTTATTTGCTATGCTTACAAACCTCCTAACTAGTCACCATGAAATGACCATTATTACCAATCCACAACTATTAATTCTATATTCTTCTCAGTAGACCTTATTACGAAACTAAACTTGTTCCACCTACTTTCTTTACATTATTCAATATTTCCTTATCACAAGTAAAATATACATGGTTACAATGTTATAGGATTCCTAATATCATATTCGTTACATTTATTGCAATATTTTTCTCATAAATACATAACAACATTACTGGAAACCCCAAACATCCATGGGGAAGAAAGTTATATAAGCACTACCAAGTAAAGGAAATGAAATTCATTTCCTCAACATGCTGAGGAGGGCGGCATGAAGAGAGGAGATGATGATAACTTGCATTCTGGTGACTTGATGATCTGGAATTGAGATATCAAAGAGCAGAGACCATCGAGATCGAAGAATTATGGAGAAGCAGGTAGGGGCAACATGGGGATTGGACTAGAATTGCTGCTAATGAGCCAACCATTGCTGCATTCATGTAGGTTGTGGGCTCCAAATGCGAGTAGTCTGACCTTGAATCCTTAAACTGATCATTTGAGTCTGGACCCCCCACCACTGCGCCCACATGAGTGTTGGGGTTGGGTGCATCGGTTGAATACCATGAACCCATCCCCTCATTACATCCGATCTTAGTAGGATGGGTCTTGATCGAAGGCATGGAAGCACCCCTGTGGTGCAATTGCTTTGGGTAGCTAGCACCAAATCCCACTACGTAAGACATCTTCATGGGGTTGTTACCCAGGATGTAATCCACCTGCATAAATGGAACCAAGAAATCAAATCTATGATTGAACATATCAAAACCCAAATTGTTTTGCAATGAATTGTTTATAAGAGACCTGTGACTTGGCGAAGGCTCCAATTTGGACTGAAGAGAAGGAAGTTGAGCCACATTGAACAGAGGCATTACGAAGCATGTCTGAATAGCGCAAGAGTATAAAGGTAGCACTTACAACATATTGAAGGTTGCTACTATCCCTGGTGTATAGAAGGCCTCCTGCATACCAACCAATATAATAATGTATTTTAAATGATAATGTTAATTTTGAAACATGAATCTAGTGAACCCAGCCAATCAATGACAGTTGCATCATTGTCTTTTAAGAGATATCTATAATATTTCTGGGAAAAAATGTCTTTTGTTTCTTAGAAATTGAATGGTTATGTATGTCTTCCCGTGGTTTTGATCACTTTCTCGCTTATCTATGTGATGATTTTTCTCTCTTCAAAACTTCTCAATGGTTATTTCCTTGGTTTTTACTTGTGGCTTAGATTACTACATGTCCTTTATGGAGTAAGTTACTTATAGGCATGCAAGTTGGTTTAAGAACATGTTAAATATCTTGTCAAATTCTAGCCACTTGACAGATGGTTATTATTGTTGGGTATGCATGGCCATCAAAGGCCTTATGAGTGCTTATAATTGAACTTATTGATATAATAGAACATGAACTTAGTGGGAGTGTGGTCCTTTATGAATCATATTATGCAAATGATGTTTGCTGATACTAGACTAAGCTTTACGAGCTAGGCCAGTCGGTTGGGAAAAACCTATGTTACCTGGGTATAGAGATTAAACTGATAAGGGGTCATCCCTTGATGAGGTCAAAGTATGCACGGACGAGTGAATCGAGGGGCTATGTTGCCTTTGTGTATGATGGTGGCCTTCAGAGACAAGGACCGAAGCCTCATCCATGTACCACCACATGACACGCACATATGATAGCCATTATTAGGAAAATGAACCATCTTTCAAGGTGAAGCTTGTGCATGTGAGAGAGATTACTTCTATGCATTATAAAGTTGTGGTTGCATCAGGTCTAAGTAACCTTGGTACGTCTCTATGGGAGAACCTGAAATCTATAGGCTGTGTTTACGATATCTTGCCTATTGGCTAGACTTTGGTGACCCACTAATGAGCCCCTGTATAGACTATGGGTCATGGGCAACATTGGGTTAGTTTGAGAATGCAAGTGTGGACCGTCATCTACAATAGAAGGTGGAGTGCCCTAGTATTTATTTATTTATTCCTAGACCATGTAGATCATTTTCCTATCAAAAGTATTTAATTATGATTGTTTTAGTGGTATATGATTTTTAGAATTGTCATTTGAATTTTTTTGAATATCTGGATATTTTATTTATGAAATTTTGATTTTATAAAAACAAAGATATTGATTTTATATTGATTTAAATATTCAAATTGGATTTTATGAATTTTTAAAAATCATAAATTATTTTTTAAGATTTAAATATGGCATGGGAGGCCCACAGACGTAAATGGGCCCACCATGACAATTTGGTGGGCCCATGAAAATGCCACCTAGGGTGGCACCCCCACCTTGAGGAGCTTTCTATTTTGTTAAATCAAGCTTACGGCTTGAGGGTGAAGAAAACCTATGTTTTGGAAAGCTTGTGTTTTACGGAAGCTTTGAAATCAAATAAAGAAATTGTGAGGAGGCTTATGCATGAAATAAGAAAGCATAATATTATTCAAGACATTTTATAATTTAAATTAATTGATGGGAAAATAGTTTAGGAAATGGGGGATAAAATTTCTAGCACATTCCATATGATCTTGATGTCATAAATATGGAATGGAGGGCTCATATCTCTCACCCCACAAGTTACTCAAGATCAATGATGCATATTCAATCTCCCAAGAACAGGTAAGCCATGAAAAACCCTAAACCCCTTGAAGCGCTATAAAAAGGGGTGCCCCATACCCATATTCTCCTTACCTAAATATCTTTCTTCTCTCTCACATATAGCTGGGGCACGCCTTGAGTAGAGTAATTCTCTTTCTCTAGTTTGTAAACAAGGGGGCACGCCCCGTCTCTTGATACTATCTCTCTCCCTTGACTAAAGTAGGGGGTACGCCCCACACAAAAAGACTGTCTCTCTCTCATCTCTCATGGCATAAAGGGTTAGGGTTTAGAAAAGAGATGCTATCTCTCTCAACTCGGTTATCAAGGGGGTTCAACCATAGTTTCAGATTTTGATTAAAAAGAGTACTTGTCCATTGGGGGTTTGGCCTAATAGCTTTCTCATGCTTGAAATTGAAGGTTGACCATTGATCCTTCGCTCTTGGAAGGTGGTGACTCGGTGTGGGGTGTAAAAAACTCGGTTGAGGTAATCTCCGGTACAAAAGCTCAGTTGAGGTAATCTCTGATACTCCCTTTATTGTTTCTTGCCATATTTATTTCTTATTTCTTTTAATGTTTCCAAGCATAGTTTGTGTTTTATTTGGTTATTAAAAGAAAGGTTTTAAGTGACATCAAGTTCTAAGATCCTAGATTTGTTTCTTTTTTTCTTTTGAAGTTGATTTATTGTAAAACAATTACTTATGAGTATTCTAAGCCGTGAAAAAAAAGAAGAAAAAAAGAAAGAAAGAATATATACTTTGGCTTGATCATATAAAGTCATTCTTTCAATTATTTGTATAGTTATTAGTTTCTCAACATCTACCTTAGTCTCTTATTGAAAGGACCTAATCAAATGAAGAGGTCAAGCATTTTCAAAGTGCAAATTTGATTATGTTGATATTTTCATTTACTTTGCCACTTGATAGAGAAGTTACAGAACTAAATCTCATTATCAAAATCACTGCCCTATAATGGAAGTGCAACTGTACGCATATACAGTCGTATGGATCTGCAGTGTGCTTCTTTCTAGTGTCAAGAAGGAACATCGATTTCCCACTAAGTAGAGCAGGTGCAGGGCTAGATTCTATCTAGGAGCCTGCATGCTAAGTAGTGGACTTGCAAACCTGGAGTGGTACGAATCTGCATGCTGCTACTTCCTGGCATCAAGGCACATACAAATGAATCTGCATCCATCTTATACTTTGCCAATTGAATCTTCCCATGCATATATTCCTGCAAGTCACTCAATATGCAATATTTTTTCGATAATTCTCTTAAATAAATGTTATTTTTCTAAAACAATAGTCATTTGTTTCTTTATTTATCTTTTACTTTATTGTTTGTCTTGGGGGAATTAGTTTATGAGAGAATACTTTTAGTGGCATTCAAATTATCATGTACATAAAATCAAGAATATTAAGGTAAAATAGCTCCTAAAATAGATAGAAACGAAAGCTGATTTCTTCAACCAAATTAGTGTTTTGAAGAAGGTAGAATATTTGACTCTCATGGGTTGCAAACAAGTGTTGTATTTGAGAAGCAAATGAGCCTCCTTTGAAAAAAATGTTAATTTCCCTGATCAAATCATTGTTTTCGATGCTATGATAAGTAGCATTATCATATTGTACATCTCATTGTGATGTCACATACTAAGAGTGTTAGATGTAGCTTCTTAGTTTTCACTTCTGATCCATTGTAATGTGTGTTAGTACTTGAATTTGATCTGGGACTGTTAACCTCCAAATTTGGAAGTTATAAATATTTGGATTTAGTAGTAGATGTATAAATTTAAGAAATGAAAACCATGCCCAGTTATGGGACAGTGGCTAGGCAGTGAATGTTAACAATTATAACACAGCATCTTCCACTTACCTACCTGAAAAAGAAATTGTGCCTAGGAATCATGTCTTCATGTATTATTGATACCGGAAATTTGAGATGGTATCAAATATTTAGTATATTGAAATTTGTAATATAGAAAACTGAATTATAAATCAAAATAACATTTGATCATAACAATATCTAGTTGAGAACACACACATAGATTTGTTGTTTGATTAATGCCCTTCTGTAAAGAAATTTAGAAAATCAGTTTTGACAATTAAATATGCTTTTATAACTACACTAACTTCTTTATGAATGATTTAGAAGGGCATTTTTCTTTTCTTCACTTTCCAAAATATATGAAAAAGTCCCCTAGATCACGTCTCGACTTGATTTCAACTTAGATGTCTGAATTTTAGAGCATTAAACTTAATACTTTCCCTTTTATTTGAATATTTCAATTGGTTCTTTGTTGAATCTTAGCAAATCGTAGCATCTAAAACGTTCTTTTGTCTTTTGATTAAATATATCTTTTCTAAATTTCTAAGGTTCATTCTCTTTTTAAATGTACTAGATGCAATTCATAAAAAAAAATTTCAATGCATTTCATGCATGTTGAGTTGTATTAATGAGATTCCCCAATCCATACTAATATACTAAATGTGGTTTTAAGGGGTGGTTTTTTGTCAGGTTTAAAACTATCCTAGTCAAGTATTGATGCAATCGAGATAATCATCCTCGATTATTTGGAGTGGTCAAAACGGGATAGGAAGAAGAAGAAATAAAAACGATTTTGTTTAATTTTTCTTTTTTTTTTAAAGAGTCAAGTTTTTTTTTTTTTCTTTGGAATGTTTATCTTTTAATTAGAAAGGTGGGATAAGTCCCTTTTTTTATATGGATTTAGGTAGGTTTGTCGTATAGTTAAAAAGCGTACTTCTAAGATCACCATGAAAAGAAGGTTTTATTAGGAAGTGGTTCGGTTTAGAAGGTAGAGACATTTAGATATATCCTTTAGGGGGTGAATAGAGTATGCTTTAATAGAGATGATGCTTTTTAAAAGGGGTGTGGCTTCTTTAAGGTTGCAACCTTCAACAATCCAATTGAGGTGCACCTCCTTATTATAAGTAATTTTGGTGTAAAAAGGTCGTAGAATTATCTCAAAATCTAGTTTCCTATGTAATTATAAAATTTTAAACTCAAAATGGTTAAAATCAAGTAGACCTCTAAACATATGAAAATCTTGAAAATGGACGGTCTAGATAGTGTGTTGCAAGATGTGCATTTTTAAGACTTGGAATCTTTTTTTTTTAATATTCATACATCTCGATGTTTAGATGATCATTTAAAGGGTTTTTCAACATTAAAACAACGTTCTCCGAGGAATTTTCAGGTGCATATGTAATTCTACATTTTAAGGTTGCAACTTTATATAAACTTTTTCTTTTATAAGAGGGTGAAATATCTTTTCGGTGGCGTGGTCATCTTGATAGATAAGAAAAAACAAAGTTTAAATAGGAGGGCAAGCTTTTTATGCTTCGCCTACCGCACTTTCCCTATCCAACAGTCAATTCTAAATAGACAGCTTAGATGACCCCAATCACAATGTTTTTAAATTTAATCTTTTTTGTATAAAAACTTTTTACACCAAAATTTGGACGTCCAATTCTCTCTTGAACTTGGACCTATAAAAAAATATAAAAAATATAATCCCAATAAAATAAAATGACTAAAATGCCCTTGAAAGTTTCAGGGGTATTTTGGTTATTATATTGTATCAAAAATATTTTTTTAATACTTTATTTAGGTGTGCCCTATTGAGATGATAGTACAGATCAGATTTCATATTCATATAGTTAGTATAAAAAAACTTAAAAATAAAATACTCTGAAGTGTCGGATCCAGATTAAATGATTAGTAGCTCACTTGATCTAAATTCGACGGTTAGATGAAGGGAGAAGTATTTTATGCTATAGGAGAAGCATAGTTAGGAAGAGAGACGTCATTGTAAATATTAGTATTTAGACGTGAATGACAGTGTGACATTTTCTTTCCACATTAACGTGGAGAGAGACGTTTTCTTTACACAATAACATGGAGAAAGAGAGAGAGAGCACTTCTTGTGGGTTTTCTTTCTTTTACTTTAGTGTACGTGGATGTGTGGCGGAGAACTTGGATCTGCATGTTTGTTCTTTGGGTGCGGTTTGTATAGAGCTTAGGCTCTAAATAATTAATAACATTAGAGCCTACTTTTAAATAGTATTGAAAAATGTAATTCCAGTACTAGAAATCTTTGTGATAGCCTTAAAATATATTTTCAACATTATTTATAAAGTTTAAAGCTTCAAATATAGTGTAGATAGACAGATCTATGAAAACTTGAAAATCTTGAAAATTAACGGTCAAAAAATGCGTTACAAAATGTACTATTTCCAAACTTGAAATCCATTTTTTTCTCATGTCCATGGATCTTTATGTCGAGATGATCAATTTGAAGATATTTGGGCATCAAAACAACCTCTTCTAGTGAAATTGTTTAGAGCCTCGGCTCTATATAAATTTTTTCCTTGTTCTTTTCCCTTGTTGATTTCTACTTAAATTTTGTTTCTCTCTCTTAAGCATGGTTGTATTTATCAGATATTGGTGGACGGAAATTTTCAGCTGTGTCAAGATTATAGGTTTTGAAAACAACCTATTCATTACAAAGCCCCCTTTTCTATACTACAACCTTTCTAACTATTTCATAACTACTATTATTCACAACCATACCTATTTTGGGGTTTCAGATCATCTAACTATCAAATAAAAGGAGGTAGTTATAATAGTTTTCTATATTAATTCAAAAGACGATAATAAAACTTATATTAATCTTTATTTCCAGAATATTAAAAAAAATATAACTTTTTTTTTTTTTTTGACAATGCAACTTTTATTTCTATGACAATAAAACTCCGAAAACATACTGAACGTCCCTTGTATAGAAATCATCCGTATTTTTGAGTTTCACATCATCTTGAAAAAGGAAAAATAGTTAGATTGAAATTTAAAATTACTTTTGTATATATTGCTTTGCACAAATAAGATCGGAATTTATAAAGGGAAGACACTACAAAATGCTTATAGGTGAAATTCTATAGTACTTCACTTACGGCTTTATCACCTTTCAAAGCTTATCACACAGTTATAGATATATAATAATATTTAAATTTTAATATTTTTTTTACAAATCATAATAATCTGAAATTTTGTAAGTATGTGCTCCTTAGCGAGATGCACATGAATAAAATATAAAACAAATCATTTGAATGATAAAAATTATGCAAAATACCCCTATAAAGTTTCAGGGGTAATTTTATCATTTTATTTTATGGCTATTATTTTTTCAATATTTTATGTTGGTGCAACTTGGTCATATGTACACACGTCCCAAATTTTAGATAACTCTGATTAGTATAATAATTATAAAAATTCAAATACTATCGGACAATTGTGACCGTGTGATAAACTTTGGACGGCGAAGAGATATAGGTGAATTGTTGATACAACCTTACATAAGTATTAGGTCATCCTAAAAACGTAAAGACTACTCTAATTTGAATTTAAAAACTCATTTTTATATGTTATTATGATGTGCATTCTCCCATTCAGGGAGATGTTCAGGTGGCCCACCCTCCAAATGCAATGTAGTCAATTTTTCTATATTATTAAAAAAAAAAGAAATTAAAACTTGTAGTAATCTTTAAAATATGTAGAGATTGTAACTTTTGTTTTGAAGACTAAAAAATTCCAAAAACATTTCTCGAAATTTATAACACATCCAAGCTATCTGATTTTACATCCGATGGTTATATGTAATCATGATTTTCCTGTACCAAAGGTAAATCGTCTTATTGAATATAATCCCATAAATTAAAAGTATACATGTGCTAGTAATGCTTGAACTCTTGCAAATTTGTTTTCTAATCAAGTAAATTAAAGCATACCTGAGCCAGTAATGCTTGAACTCCTACAAATTTGTTATCCCAGCTAAACTCATTAATAGCTTGACTCCATCCCTGGTTATTCAAGACATAGCTCAGATACTTGCCTTGCCCACTTGCCTTGTACAGCCATGCAGCAGCCCACAATAGCTCATCCTGTTCAGTCAAATCCCAAAGCTTTATCAATTTAGTTTAGCCTGCTAAAACCAGTCAACAAGCATTCATAATGGATTGATTACCTGGTAACCACTATAAGAGCAGTAGAAAGGGCAAGAACCTTGATATGATCCTCTATACTTGTCAGCAAACTCGAATAGCTGAACCGAACGATAAAACAATGTTAATTTTTATCAAATGTGACAATTTCCCAATCATTAGCAGATAGGAGAAAGAGAAGGAGATGGAGGAGGGGAGGAAGAAAACAAGAATTGGTGTTTGACATGAATGGGTGGGTTAGAGTAGTACAGAAGTTGCACTATTGAAGAGATGTGAGGAATAGTTGGAATCGAGAGCTTCGAAGACAATGGATGCAGCCGCAAGAGCAGCGGCAGCATCAGCAGCAGGCTCGGAACCAGGTGAGGAAGAGGTGATTTGGTAGAGGGTACGCGATGTATCCATGTCCTCAGGTCTCTCCCAACATTGATGGTCGATGTTCCCATCGCCTACCTGTGGCCATAGCAATTATTGATAAGGACCATGTTGCTTTAGCATGGTAGGCATGGACTTCCAATACAAGAAAGCAAAGTAAGACTATTTATATGCTAACACCATTATCTCTTCCTACCCTCTCTTTCTCTCTCAAACCAAAAATCTTACGGTACAGTAAAAATTTAGGAGAGAAGTGGATAAGTAAGAAATCTTCAATATAATAGGAAAACGTTTATATAAAATTGCAACCTTAAAATGTAGAATTACAGATGCACCTCAAAAATCTATCAGAAAGGTTGTTTTAATGTTGAAAAACTATCTAATTAATCATCTAAACATTGAAAAGTATAAATATGAAAAAAAAAAAATTGGAGTCCTAAAAATAGTGCATCTTGTAACACATTATCTAGATCGTCTATTTTCAAGATTTTCATATGTTTATAGATCTACTTGATTTTACCTAGTTTTGGAGTTTAAAAAGTTCTAATTAGATATGAAAATAGATTTTAACATAATCCTAAGAATATTTTAAAACGAAAGTATATGCTGCGATAAAATTTGGAGGTGTGCCTTAATTGGATTGTTTAAGGTTGTAACCTTATAGAAACCACACCCTTAATAATATGATATAGAGAATAAAGATAAAGATGGAGATAGAGAGTGATATAGAGAAATTTTAGCAAGATGTAGATTCCTATAAAATTTCAAGTCATTCCGATTTGAAGAAAAAAAATGAAAAATAAAACACTACTGAACAATCGTGACCGCGTGATGAAATTTGGACAGTGATGAAAGTAGGCGAAATCACAATTCATTTTCGCCTATAAGCATTGGAAAGACTTTTCCATATATATATATATATAATGGAACATGAAATACGTTTCTGTGATGGCTATGCATGATAGTTTCAATTTTAACTTCTAGTCACGTGACTAGAAGTTA